ATGATCAAATTGAGTTTGAAAATAAAAAGTTTTAAAAAAATGGAGTCAAATGGGTTTTCAATCACCTAATATACTTTCAAGTATTAAATCTTCTTTTGCAACCTCATATAGTTAAGTTCGTTAAATAGTATTACATGTTTGGCAGTGCTTTTTTAAGGGGCATAAGCTTGTTAAACATCATTTTATCCATACATTCAGTATGACTCACATTTTTGGACCATGCTACTACATATATCTAAAAATTTTGCCTACTACTCACAATAGGGGATAGAGACCACGGCTCGGATCTTTAAATACACGCGGGACCCACTTGTTTTGTGAGAGAGGGACAGGGTTCGGTAACCTCTCCTTTGGTACATATATCCTTTTACCACAATTTTTATTCATTTTTTATCCTCACATTTTGTAGAACCTACAACTTATAATTTACATGAAGTTTAACAAACACACTTATTATAATATTAGAGAAAATTTGAGCTGGTTATGCACCGTGGTTATAAATCTTCAACCTTTAAATTTGATTTTGAGCCTCCAATTTGTTTACATTTGTAAATCTGGAGACTACATGACTGAAATCGTTAATGTGAAAATTAGAACTTTGCTAATTGTACATTGATTTTTGACACTTTAGTTGATACTTATATTATTGTCAAGTATCAATTGGATGAAAAAATCCTTTAAAATTTTCAATACCGCACGCTAGTTTACAGTTCAATTGAAGAGAGAGAAATATTAAGTGCTTTAACAATTTTATCCTCCAACTTTAAGTAAGGTAAATATCATTGACATGGACAATTTTGGTCACGAGTTTTTTCAAACTTTTAAGCTAGTCAAATATCATTTTTAAAACGTTCCGTAGGATACACTACTAATATACTATGAAAACCTTTATCGAGCATACTCTTGAATAGGGTTATCATCTAAATATCAATTTCGAAGATTGAAATGCTTAACACCACATAATCATGCCAAGTGCAACTCTAATTTTCCCGATAATATTATGCCACGAAGGGGGAAGGAAAGAAAAAGTGGTGTTTATTATATTCTCCTAAGCTAGTCAAATATCATTTTTAAAACGTTCCGTAGGATACACTACTAATATACTATGAAAACCTTTATCGAGCATACTCTTGAATAGGGTTATCATCTAAATATCAATTTCGAAGATTGAAATGCTTAACACCACATAATCATGCCAAGTGCAACTCTAATTTTCCCGATAATATTATGCCACGAAGGGGGAAGGAAAGAAAAAGTGGTGTTTATTATATTCTCCAAATACTCTTTAGAAGATGAGCTTGAAACAATTTACCAAGAAAATTTTGGGCAATGAAGAGAAAAAGAAGATTACATCTTCTACGTCCTGGTCTTCTCGTCCCGTCATCTGACTTATGTTCTTCATGTAGCATTCAAATCGAGAAATTCTTCGATTTCTTCCGGAAGCAGATGATTCACGTTCCATGAATAGCCGGGACATTGAGGCATATCCGGAAAGGCACGATCCTTCCGTCACCTCAGAATGAAAGGGGGAAGAGTTACGGGGCGTAAAACAAAAAAAATATGCAAATGGGCCAAGGGCATACTATTTGTAATGAGCACAAGTTTAGGTTCAACCTCAATGGGGAAAAAAAATTGAGCACCTAACACAAGTACCCTTTTGTTTAAAGGTCGTTCGAGCTAACCCCGCCTAATGTCACATTTATTCTATCCATCAACCTATCAGACAATACTTGTAACCTACTCAAGAATATAAATTATACAGCATTGAAGCGAGAGCATTCCTTTCATCGAACTAGCTATATACACAACGAGATTACATTGACCCAAGCGCAATTTTTTTTTTTTTTTTCTCATCTTCATTTTGCCACTTTTTATGTTTTTTACCATCTTCTTTTTTCTAGTGAGAATCAAAAGACAAGATGACTATGTAAGAACCAGCTCCCATGTGAACCTTGCCAAATCCTAATAACAAAATTGAGCAGGAATAAATTTGAGTAGACATTCATTCTCAAGTCTAATGAAAATAAGCAGCACTACTGCCTATGCCCTCAATTTCCTCGACAGACAATTAACATTTTTCCATGTTCTGAGGACTGCACAACTGCCTCATAATCCCCCATTCCCACCACACACCTTCCCCAACATCAAAATTATCCAAACTCAAGCTCAATCACACAAATTCAACTTACCATTTCTTGGTACTACTAGTTGCAGGTGCAAGTTATAACGAAACTAGAAAGATGATTCCGATACCAAACCACCGGAAAATACTCTCTTGGTTCATTAACAAGTTCAATACACTACTCGACATGACTCTGTAGTACGATGGATAAAATTATTTCGTCCTTTTTATTCATCAATATGTCCTGTCAAAAATGCTCTGAAAGGCAAGGCAATGACCATCGTGTTTAATAATAAACACAAGGTCATATTCAATTTGAGAGAATGACACCATAGTATGAAATCTAGCATGTGAAGGCATGTTACTTTTGTCCTTGGGCTTATTTCTAATAAGGACTAAATTATGCGACGTGCCATCCCAACTTAAACAGAACTCACATCAATTGCCAGACTAATGATATTTTCGCCATTGACAACCACCTTTACCAGACCAAGGGAAAATGCCTTTATCTCATGAGCATATGAATAAATCTGCAATAAATGCTTCACTCGAGGACAAAATTCATCAAAGTCAAGAAATACTAAGCCTCTGTTTGGCTATTTATAAATCATTTATAAATTGTCAAATTTAATTTTCAAACACATTCAGTGAACCTACAACTACTACCCACTTATCAACTTCTCATTTCTATATAGTTATAAATTAAAGCATTTATTAATTCATCGAAACGGGGGCTAAATAATCTACTTTCTGTTTCTTTGAAATCCAGTTTTCCACTCTTTAACACAACAATGCCAACCCTCAACTCCAGGCATAGCAAAAAGGATGACAACATATAGTGAATACAGAGAAGATGATGGTCTCAACCATATTCTATTCTAGCCTACTAAAAAACCAGCAAAAATGACTAGGAACTACCCTGAAACAATGGAAAGAGCACACGTTTAAGTACAACATAAGGTTTTATTTATAGTTGATAGGCATCTCCTGTCAGCTGCACTAGTGGATTTGGAAGGGGATCAGATTCCTATAAAGCTTTATATCAATCTCGGCTTCTGAATATTATTCGGCAACTTACAAACATAACTCTAAAAATTAGATGTCTTTTGAAAAATCATATGAAAAGTAGTTTTGAAGTAAAAAATACTTCGTAAAGTTTAGTTTCACTTTTTACTAAAAAGTGACATACTTTTATTAAAATTGATGTTTTGTAATTCAAAGAAGTGATAAAAATTCAAAAATAATAATAATAATAATAATAATAATAATAATAATAATAATAATAATAATAACAAACCATTAAAAAAATGACAGAAAATAGAAAAGTGGCAGAAATTCAAAAAATGATTTATGAAAAAGTTACACACAATCTACCTACTAAATACTAATCATCACTCTCTAAGGTTGAGAATCTCTTTATTTATTGTTTGTCACTTAAAAAAGTGACAGAAACTAAAACATAATAATAATAATAATAATAATAATAATAATAATAATAATAATAATAATAATAATAATAATAAATAAAAAGTGACTTGAAAGAATAAAAAAAGTAACAATCATTAAAAAAAGTGATGAAAACTCAAATAAAGTGACAAAAACTTAAAAAAGTGATAGAAATATAAATAACAGATAAAAAAATTAAAAAAAAATTTGAAACATATTCCTGTTCTTTACTTAGCCTTCTACCACTCACATAAAGTTTAAAACAGAAGTTTACAATGTTCAAATCAATATTAACATAGAGAAAACAGTTATCTCACCCCAAAAGTCACTGTTATAATACTGAATGATTCCCTTATTGGGCAAAATAAACTGCATGGATAAACACCACATACACAAGAGCACTCTAAAAAATTAGCAGTTAATATGGATGCTCCTAAAACTCTTAATTGTACCATGATAATTAAAAATAAGGAGTCGCAGAAGATACTATACTACTACTATAAATGTTCGAAAATCATGAGAAATATTGCTGGCCAAATAATCATGTAACTCTTTTACGTTTGCAAGATTGCCTCATCGAAGTTCATGTATCCCAAAGAAATTCATTTTCAAAACTTTCAAAAAAAATAATCATAATAATAAATAGTATCAGAGTTCTACAAAATGAAAAAGCAACTACTAAGTACTAACCTTTCAAAATCCCATGTTCCGATTATTTATAGTAGCAAAATCCTGGATGACCAAACCAAAAGTCCATGGAATGTCCTGACCAGTTCCTAGATGACGTTGTGTACACGGCCTTTTTGAGCAGATTCCAATTTGAAATACTCCGATGACATTGATCAGCCACCAGATGGAGTAACTAATTCAAAGGAATCTGCTCATAAACTTGAAAAGAAAAAACACGGTGCAGGAGGAAAAAAACTAGCCGAATCGATCGAGAATGTCGTGAGAAGAAGTGGAATAGTAGGTGAGGAGGGTTTCTCTTTGAGAGTTTTTTGGAATAGGAACTCCTGATTTGGGTTTTGAGTGATTTTGTAATTCTAGAACATATTAATTACACTAATTATATGATTTAATTAGTTAATATGGTATTGATCAAATTAGTTAATTTTTTAAAGTATTGTGCCTAATTTTCCCAATATTATTTTAAATAAAGAGCTTGGATATGGGACAGCCCGTGCCTTAAGTAATGGATAAAAGGAGTGGTCCGCTTGGATCCCATTTGTAGGGGGCCCTATCACCACTACTTTGGCAAATGATATCTGCTGAGAAGTACCTCCATTGGTTTATATGGCTCCAGGCAAATACGTCACACCAAAGAGTATCCAATATTACAATGGATTTGTTTAATGATGTGGAGTTTTCCAAACTTTATGTAAATCACTAGTTTATCCAGACAAAGAATGGGAAAGAAAATAAAAGTTGGGACTTTGTTAGGTGCAGGACATGCAATATTAGCATGCCACAACCTCTCATAGTGATGCAATTTAATGAGATCATATGGTACATTCACTGTTGTTTCACATAAAATGCAAACAAGATACCTATTACATACGAAAGTTTGTTTTCAATCAATTTAACTTTGTCTCAATGAGGTCATACAAGCCACTTTAAAGTACAACATTACTCTCATGATACGTTTTAACACATATACCTTGATTGAATTCATCTGATGTACTCCCTTTTGGTCTGCTGGAAGGTTCACCAAGTGAGTTGAGTTGCCGAGGAATGAGGATAAGGCAATTTTGCCAAACTAGATGGTGGGAGCATTCAGTGCCAAAACCTTGCACTGTTCATTCATGGCCACGAGTTGAGCCTCTTTCTTGTCAAGAAGAGCAGTAAGCCTCACATTCTCCTCCATAAGTTTTTGGACCTCAACTTCCTTCTGTGTCTTTTCACTTTCCAACTGCGACGTCTTAACGACAAGTCTGGTTGAGTTCAAAAGAGACTAATCATATTAAATTTCCCAAAGAACCCCATCACAATTGACATTGTTTATGCAGAGATTAATAACAATACCAAAAAATAAAACAAGTTAAATATCTAAAAAGATAGCAACAGTCTAACTATCATGAACAGACTCCTTTTGAGGTGGAGTGTCGATGCTACAAGTATTGGACAAGGTTTTTGGATCGCTCGAAAGTAATCAACTTAACTGGCCATCACACTTAAATGAAAATTTTGTTTGCAATATATCAAAATCGTTTCTTTGTTAGGTCACATTCGATCCATCAGCGATGCACTTATTTCATTTTGTAGGTCAGTCTACCGTGTTAGTGAATCGTGCTCCTCGTGTGTACTCTATGGAAATATTTGGGGATGAGTTGCACAAGCTGTTACTGGTGCCGTGTGTGATGACAAGAACAATAAAGAAGGTGAAGAGAGTAAGAAGCTAAGAATTAAGGAAGATAGTAGATTTATTCAATAATCAAGTGTGTCTATTACAATCCAAGAACCTTAATTTATAGGTTACAAATAACAATAAAAAAGTAAAGTTGCAATATAAAGGAAAAACTAGAATTTCCTTTTGTTTAAAAGGAAACAAATTTATTACTCTACCAAAACAAGAAAAGCAATATTGAAAATTCGATCTTTAATTGATTTGATTCTGATTACGCCTAGAATACACTTTCCAATTTGCATCAATTACCTTTTGGAGTTCCCTATCACTACTTTGTTAAAAGGAAAAATTGTCCCCTTGGTGAGATCATATTCTTGGGGATGATTTGCAGATTCTATTGTAGTCATGTCAACGGTTTCCTTATCTGTTCCTAAAAGATCGACATTCTTGACTAATAGATTGCAGTCTACTTTGCTAGAGCCAAGTTCTCTTAGCCAAGGAGAAATTAAGAAAATCCTGTTATATTATTATCTGACTGCTTTCCATGCTTAGATTCTTCTTTTGAAAAAAGTTATTAGGGTGTATTTACTAGGTTTTCTACAATTTAATTAGATGTTTCCAACCTAGAATGTGTTTATTATATTAGATGTTTCTAATATGCGTCATCCAATCGATAGCAACCAATAGCCATAAATGAGCCTAATAGTCTTAACTCTTAACCCAATCTATAGCCATCAATAACGTAGTGCAATAGTGCTCTTGAGCTAAATCGATACACGATTAGTTCAATCTATGAATGTAGCATTTGCTACCTTTCTAAAGAAGTAAACTGATGCTCAATTGATGCTCGTTGTCCCCAAAATCATCTCCAATCCACAATTAGAACTATTGAAATAGTTTAAAGTTCACGATAATTATCCCTCGCGATCAGGTTGCAAACTAGCACAATTCTGTTCTCTAGAGTCTAGGTTTCAACCACAGCTCTGTAACGAGTTCTTTCAATCGATTACATATTACAGTAGTATAGGGGTTCATAAGAAAGGAATACTCTACAATGCACAAAATTTGTCCTCTTTATACTAAAACGAAGGTAACTCTTCAAGTCGCGTATCAAGAATATTTTCACACCGGTGCAATAATAATCTCACTCTTTTTTGCCAACTTCAGGCAACTTGCATCAAGGTTTATGGTAGGATCGGGCATGACTTGTTGCATATTTTGCTCACAAGGTTTACAAGCAAATAATTACTCGAATGCATCCATGCACAAAACTTGTTATCAAGGCCCTAACCTATTCTCAATGCACTTCTTCTTACCTACATGCTCATGCACAACATATGATCCTCTTGAAGCATACTCGTTGGAAAAGTGCTCTTTTAACTCTATCCAAAGCATTGAGGGTCATTTGCATGCCCAAAATACGATCATTGTGCGTCGTCCACTGCATTTTAGCTTAATGTTTGCTATCGCCCTTCATCAGTGCCTAGCTTAAGTATGGTCATCCTTTAATCCATTTCTAATTAGAAGTGCCTTCATAGTATACTTTTTCGCACAATATCGACATCTTGCCTCATTTGTCCAACAATGAGGCATTGGCCCATGATGGCATTTCTAGCCAATAGACCCTAACGGCAAGGCTAGAACATATAGCCAATGCACACGAGTTTGCACACAACATGTCAAAAGTCCTTGCCTTGATAGCTCATTTGGCCTAGGGGTGTCACTGTCTACTCAACGTAACCTATAGAGTATAGCAACGCTCTTTCACCAATCGTCGGCTCCCTCTTGGTGCCCACCACGAAAGCTCAATGTCACTTAATAGGTTCTCGATCACATACGAGTATTTTATCCCTCCCTACATGTGCCTACAATAGGCCCTTAATTTCCCTTGTAGCCCTTAAGGGTTGTGTAAAGAATTGGGCTGCTAAAATTCTTGAGCCCAGTTGATGATCTGCAGTTAAGTGTAAGACCCGGCCCCATGATTGCTCCATTTTAACTAAAGGTTCCAGATTTGCAAAGTCATGTTTTGGAAATACAACTTCAATTTAAATTGCGTCCTACACTGGATCTCTTACATCTGGCAATTGTGTGACCATTGGATCGATCTGTTGGACACGTCTCATATAAATAGTGCCTTTAAAACTAGGGTTAAAGACACTTTCACTTCTAGAACCCTAATGCCCTTCGACTACCGTTTTTCTCCTTAATTTCTTTTCATCTTCTAGATGATGTTTGGTGTGATTTCTTAGTGAAATCTTGTAATATACTATTAGTAGTGATGAGATCTAACTCTGTGCGAGATTAGCATATAGAATCTGAGGGCAAGTTTGTGGGTGTGAACGGCAGATTGCTTTTGTTCTTCTGTAACTTGGTTTTCCCAGATTTTGGGGGTTTTAATAGTGGATTCGAGCTTAATCCGTATGGATGCTCAACGGGGATGTAGGCGTTGGTAGCCAAACCAAGGGGCCTTTGGCCGAAAATTCCTTTGTGTTCTTTACTTTCTTGTCATTTACATTTTGTATTTTTTACTGTAAAATACTCGAGTCACAAAAGAGTTCGTAATACTGGGAAATACACATTGCATATTTTGTGCATAAGAATAACCCACTGATTGCCCTTTCGTATGGACGGTATCACCGGGGAGGCTAGCTGATTGTTGGCACAGCATGTTCCTTTATAATAGACTTAGTGAGAAAAATCCAAATGACCAATAGATGTCTTTTGGTTGAGGAATCATAATTTTCATAACTAATGTTCTCAACCTCCAAATGACACTCCATTTTATCTATAACGTAGCTAACATCTTCGATATAAAGTCCTCAAAGTTTTCAGCCCTACAGGATATTCGATCCTTGAGATATTGCTGTCGCAATATTCTTAAATTACGACAATGCCACTGATTGATATTGTCGAATTCGACTCCAACGTTTTCTAACCAAACGGACTCCAATTTTCGTCTGCCTTGGTGGGTAGCTTCTTACTCCTTAGGCAAGTTTTCTGTAAAGCGGGCTCCCCAAAACTCAATTGCTATGTGCCTCTACTCAAAGCACGAAATAAACTCATGCAAGCAAGCTACCCCTTCTCCCCAACGGATGTTGCGGACATTAGCATCATGCTAAGTTGCTTCCCGTGACATCTAGGATTGTGAAGTTCTCTGATCCTTCTTTCACTTGTATTGTTTTCTTTGTTCAAACAAATGGTAATTTATAGAAATCAATCAGTTTTACAGATACCAAAGGTTCTTTTTTACTTGCAGCACAAACCTTTGACCTTAATCACTTTGTCCCCCACTAAATCTATTTGAAAGAGACTCACAATTTCTCGGGTGAAGAAAAGGTTGGGTGAAACTTTACAGATTAAAGAAAGACTCAGCAGAGGAGCATTTTTTGGTTATAATTAATTGACTAGTATATTGAGGCTAGCATAAGGAAAAATTTAAAAAAGAACCTTTTTCATTTCTCATTATTTTGCTCTTTCAATAAATTCTTCTATTTTCTTCCAGTATAAACTACTCAAATGACAACCTACAAATGAAAAAGTTGCTAGCACAAATCTATAACTACAAATGAAACAACAAAATTTAATGAGGTGAAAAGAAAATCAACAAACAACATGTCATCACCATGAACAATAAACAGAGCAAGATATATCTTCATAAAAAAATCAATTAGCAGTCTATAAACATAAAATAAAACTAAAATATACTGACCTTTCAAAGAGCCTCTCAATTGTCTGAAATTGCTTTTCTGATGAAATAAGTGTTTCCCTTATATTAATCAGACTACTGACATAGGTTTTTAGAGATTGGAAGTCTTGCTTAACACGGCAGAGCTCCTGTTCATTTTCTGCAGCTCTTTCTCTTTGTCTAGATGTTTCTTCAACCAAATCTTCAACCCTCTGTCGCATTTCATTTAGAATACAATTAGTGCCCAGTGCCAACTGCGCCATCTCCTCTAATTTTAAAGACATATTTTCAATTTGGAGGTTCTTTCTTTTAATTTCATCCTGCCCTACAGTCACCTTCTCCTTCTCAATAGCAGTTTCAGATTCCGCCACTATAACCCTCTTGACAAGGCTTTCCATCACATCTCCAACTATATGTACACTTTTGAATGATTCGTTTATATAAACTACATCATCTTCATCAAGTGAACCATGATGACTGCCAAGTGCAGTCCATGTTTCCACATCAAGACTGTCAAAGGAAGACAACTCTACATTTCTCGACGAGACAGACAATGGTACACCATTTTCATCAACAAGGCCCACGCCATCTAATTGTTTGATACCACAAACAATATGAGCCATTCGGGGAACAGCCATGATTCTGGCTTTTGATTTCAAGTATGTGAATAATGATGCAGCAGTTTTAACTCTACGCCAGAGGACACCTAGTTCCTTCTTTGCGTCCTCCTCTTGCAAGGCATCCACACAGTATTGCCTTCTATCCATCTCCTGTTTTCAATCAATGTGAACTCGTCTTATTGCAACCAAGCTGACAATACAACATGTTCCTCTACGGCCATCAATTTCCTTAGTAATGCAAAGAAAACAAGTAATTTTAGAGATAAATATTAGGTAAAATAAGTAGATATAGCGAGTACGAACCATGCAATGATTTAAGTATTAACAACCATTTCAATTAACAGATTTATTAGATATCTTCCTAGTCACTTCAAATTCGAAGACTATGATCATTCTGCTTAAGAGGTAAATTGGCTCAACTTAAAACAACTTACTACTGCTGGGTAAATTGACTTTACGTGATGAGATGTTGAAGGTTCATTTTAACATGCTACAGCTTCCTTAATAAGCAATTATGCACACATTTCAATGAAATAGTTGCCAGCTTCAAAATGTCTAAGTTGTAGGCTGTTATAATCTATCCCAAAAAGCTTTAAAAAGATTGGTGACCTAGTGTTAAAATGAATACAATTGAGTTGTGCATCATCACAATCATATCAGCATAGACACTTAAAAAACTCTTTTATATTCACAATAAGAATGGGAAAATTATGTGTTATGGTGTATACTAGCAACATATTTTGACGTAAAGATCATTATAAATCCAGAATGATATAAGAATACACTGCTTCATCAGTACATAAGGGTATTATAGATTAAACTTGAGGTTGGTAATGCTCCATAACCCAACCTAAAATGTCACAAAAGTTAAATGGACAGCATTGAGGACATGTTTGGTCGATGGTACTCGACACAATTGAACACTGTAATTACCAAAATTTTAGCTTTTGTTTTTGTTTAATTACTTCCAATGTTGTACATCACAAGCAGTGAATGTTTCTCGCACTCAGCACGGAACTTGGTTCATGAAACTTCAGTGTTGTGAAATTCCATTCTGAGCCACAAGATCATGCACAAAACTTCTCCAGAAAAAAGGATTAAAAGCAACCAAAAGTTTAAGATGAACACGAGAATATTTTTCCCCCAGGAAAGAAAAAAGATTATCAGGGCAACTACGTACCAAAGATATAGATGACGTCACAAAATTACAGGACAAGATGCACACAAGGAAGAACCAAGAAGAGAGAGCAGTAACTTCAAGAATAACTCTAAAAATCCTAAACCTAGTTATTTTGACGATATCAACTAGCATGAAATCAAACAAAGAATCTCGAACACATATATTTACACAGTTCTCAATGCAATAAAAATCACAAGTTCCATAAACACAAAGAAAATTTCTATATTTAGTCAAAAAGAAGACAACAACATTTTATCATACTAGCATCAAGATCCATGAAAAATGAATTATAGCATTTCAAGAAATTTGACAAGTGCCCACTATCAAAACCATAGAAATAAAAGAGTTCAAACACGAAAGGCAGACAATTGTTACGTTCAAACAAAATGGCAAATTATAGCAGATCTATAGATCATTATTGAAAGACAAACGTAAATTTTAAACACAAGAAACTCCGTTCGTACAGTACAAGAAAGAGAAGAAAGGGACCTTTTGATTTCTCCAGAATTGGGAGCTCCAAATTGTTCACTTCAGAAGAATATGAAGAAAGATAACGATGGTGTTTCTACTTTCTTCACTTTGCCCTTTTTAGAGTTAATTGTTCCAATGGTCATTGAACTTTGATCCTTATCTTTGATTGGTCATCGAAATTTAAAATATTGAATTTTAGTCACTAAACATAGATAACCTTTGATTGCTCACTGACCTTAGATCTATAACTTAAATTATTCACTGAACTTTGAAATGTCGAGTGTTGATCAGTGAACTTGGAATATTTTGTACGTTACTCATTAGTATAACTGTTAAACTTTGAAAAATATCGAATTTACAGTGAATAATGCAAAATATTTTTCAAAGTTGAGTGAGTAGTGTATAATATTTTTCAAAATTCAGTGAGTAATACAATATTTTTCAAAGTTCAATAGTTAAAATTCAATATTTTAAATTTCAGTGAGCAATTCAAGACAAGAATCTAAGTTCAGTGACTAAAACTTGATATTTTCAACTTCAGTGACCATTCAAAAACATAAATCTAAGTTCAGTGACCACTGGAACAATTAACTCCCCTTTTTATAGTTCAATAACTACAATAGAGGCTATTTTGGCCCCCATTAAAATTAAATTTTGGGAGAGAATATGAATTGTAATTAATAATTTTTTTAAAAAAATGTGTGATTTAAAATTTTTTGTAATATATTACTTCTATATAATGTAATTTTTCCATTGTCCACTCCTCATATGGAAAGGAACCCATTTCAAATAAATTATATTTTATTGGTAATGGTCCCACTCCATGTGAGATGGATAGATACCGTTATGAACATTTTGATGAATGTGATGACCCAATTATATTTTTTTTAAAGATTGATTTACGTGTAATGTAGAAGGTTAAACGGCACAACCCCTCTCCCCCCGTCCCCTTCCCAATCTATTTGACGCTACGAGAAGCCACCCTGCCTTTTGAAAATGGCAAAAAAGTCCATATTTGAAAATTTTTAGGGCGTTTGTTTCTTATTTTTATAAAAATGAGAATGAAAAGTATAATCATTATGGGCCCCACACAATATTTAGAAATTCAAATTTAATAACTTTATGTGATGGATAATGATTATATTTTTTATTTTAATGGGGAAAGAATGGAAAACAAATAAGAGCTTAGTGTGAAATACCCTTGTCATCCATTTTATTAATAAAAAATTGTGAAATAATAAATGTACCCTCCCACTTAAATAGAAGAAAAAAGAACTAACTACAATCATGGTACCAAAATTTTCAGAAAATTACAATTAAGTCCCAAAGAAATAATTAAAATATCAAAACTATTCACTTCATCTTCCTCTCTCTCCCACCACCGCCATTCACCACCACCGCCTTCTCCATCACTCCACCACTAGTCTCTCCACCTAAATACCAAGCTACCATTCACAAAACCCACCTCCAAATCCATTCGACCTATCACTAGGCTCCATGTTTCCTCCACCACCTCCCAAAAAGTGGTAGGAAGGCAAATTTCACCAATTGACCCATTTCTAGAAACAATGTAAATTTGGCTAGCTCAAACCTACGATAAGACCCATAAACCCCTTTTCCTCCAACCTCAAATTGAGCAAATGGGCCAAGTGATTCAAACTCATTGGAATATTTCCCTAGATATAATCGATACAGTTTAGAAAGTGAGGCCATTGTTGAAAAGTCCCCTAGAAAATTTATTATGAGAAATGGAGAGAAATTTAAGACTTTTAAGATTAGAAAGGTCAGGAATGGGTTCGAAAACTATGAGGAAATAAGTGGAAATGATTCTTTAACTAACCATTATTTCCACATTGGCCCTTGATCAATTTAAAAAAAATGAAAAAATGTTTTAAATAAATAAATAGACAAACTTTCATATTTGCTCTCATCTTCAACAAACAAACAAGAGAGAACTAGAGAGAGAAGGAAAAAAAATTCAAAAATCATACAATCGACTGTTAAGGTTGGATCTCATCAAGCCCCAAATCACCACCAACATAAAAAGTTTCTTAGAACAAGGTAATTTTTTCATATTTAAGTTTTGAATTTTTCATTTGAATTTTTTTTTATTTGTGGATTATATGTTGTTATTATTCTTGTAAACTCTTCATTATTAGTGATCATTAAATTGTTGAGCTAACTGGGGCCTAAAAATGGTTAGAGCTCACCATAAATGGCGATTTCTGATGAGACAATCAATCGATTTCCATTGACTGTTAAAAGTCGGCTGCCGACAGTTAACCGTCGACTTATCCGATGGTTTCCAGTTGACTTAGCCGGCTCCTTTATTTATTTATTCATTTTTTTTTAATTTCTTTTATTTTTATTATAATTTTTTAAAATTATTTTTAACGACTCTTTCTTTTTTTCTTTTTTATTCTTTTGTTTTTATTATAATTTTTTAAAATTTTCAACGACTCTTTTTTCTTCCATTTTTTTATTTATTTTTTTTTTATTATAATTTTTTTGAAATTGTTTTTAACGACACTTTTTTTTCCTTTTTTTTTAATTTCTTTTGTTTTTATTATAATTTTCTAAAATTATTTTTAAAGACTCTTTTTTTTTTCCTTTTTTGTTTTTAATTTCTTTTGTTTTTGATGACTCATTTTTGTCCTTTTTTGTTTTTAATTTCTTTTGTTTTTATTATAATTTTTTTAAATTTCTTTTAACGACTATTTTTTCTGTTTTATCTTTTTTTCTTTTGTTCAAATTGTTTTTTTTATTATAATTTTTTTAAATTATTTTAACCAAATGAGCAAATTTCTTTTTTTTTCCTTTTAATTTTTTAATTTAAAATTCTTTAATTTTAATAATTTATTTTTGTTTAAATTTGTATATATATTATTTATATTATAGATAATATTGTAGAATAATATTAATTGTAGAATAATCTTTCAAATTATTTTACGTATTGCGTATGATAGCTACGATTCGGTTCGCGTAATTTTCTGTTATTATTCTTTTTTCCATTATCTCATGTACAATGTTTTAATATTCTGTTTGAATTTTTGTAGGATGAATTATCATCTAGACGCAGAGTTGAGACAGATACCAGACAAAGCTACTTGGAATAGTAGTTTTGACAGCACTGTACTGGACTCGATGATCAACATCCAGATATCCTGTGTGCAGTCCTTTCTGTGGCCCCTATACCAGTTAAGAGAAGTGTAGTACTCAGGTCAGATCATCGATGCTCTTCTATATCAGTTGCTCAATCCAGTCGACCGTGTTGCCCCTTCAACCTCGGGGGCAAAGTCACCAGTTTCTCTATGTTTAAGTTTGCCCTGCTCACTGGATTGAAGATTATGAGCGATGATGCAGCTAGTGACGAGACTCCAAGAAAAAACAGGCAACATGAGCTTACTTCCATGGACAAGGTATAGTGATTCTACCTCAACTGATCGACGCAATCAGGAGGTGTGACCAGATGTTAGACAGACTGAAGTTAGGTCTGGTCTACATCCTTGAAAGCGTGGTGCGGTATCACCACAAGAAGATTGCAATCAACATCTTCCACTTGGAGATCGTCGACAACATTGATTGCTTCAATAACTATCCGTGGGGCCAGATATATTTCAAGAACACCGTACACATCTTCACTAGATTGCACTTAAAAAAAAAATCTATTGAATTTGTATGTAATAATTTATATGTTGCAGATTTGGGCATATGAGACCGTTCCCCTATTAGGTACTTGCTTTGCGAGGTGAGGGGGAGACATGCTACTCGCGAATGCACCATTGGCGAGCATCTCGAGCGGAGGGATGTCCCACTGGAAAATAATTATCGGCTCTCCTCTACGACCATCATATGAGTATTATACATTTGATATTTATATTGTATATAGTTTAAAATCTCATTACATGATTGTTAATGATTTAAAATGTCAATATGTCAGTTTGAAATAATAACTAATTTGACACTATCGATGGAGGAGGAGACTCAAGGTCTTGTGCATGAATTAGCCGTTCTGCATACCCAAGACGACCAAATGTCCAATTCTATCCACAACCTAGACTGGGTAAGTGAATTATTGATTATTATTTTGTATGAATTAGCAGTTATTGATTAGATTAATAATTTGCAATGTTGTTTGCAGGAGCGCGATCCAGTTGATCAGGCATCACCTCCTTTCCCGTCCAGAGACCATCGTGGATCTTCCGCACATAGTCAGGGTCATTATTCTGACGATCTGTATGCTCACATGACTGGATTTATGGTGCAAGAGATCGACACACTACACCGAAAGCTGATAGGAGTTATAGCAGAGAAGATCGACGTATTACGTCAAGAGATGATGGAGAAGGTTGACGATCTAGGATGCTAGTTGGTAGGAAGGGTCGAAGATAAATCCGATGATATTAGAGTGTCATGACCATTGTGTGGACCTTTAAGATGAGATTGCAGTACTCTGAGGTGATATAGCCTACAGATGAGAGGGTGATAGAGAGGGGAGTCACCAACAGTCGTGGTCGAAGGATGCATTAGAATCCTTTTTGCAGTCTATGGAGTGGGTGACCCCATCGGGGATGGGGGCTATGGTAGAGGATGGGATGGCGATAGGGACGGAAGAAAGGATAGCCCAATCGGGGTACAAGAGGAGGTGGTGGTCACAGGGTAAAGGAGGTGGCAATCTCCAAAGTGGATGAGGGAAGGACAATTGTCACAACTGAGGCAAAAAACCTTACTATTCAAATGTCGTAGTTGGTTGTAGGCAAGAGGCCTAAAGTGCCGTCTCAGTATATCGTCTCTCCCTTCACGGCTGAGATGAAGAGGAGGAGGTTCATTGATGGGACGTACCCCAATCTGTTCCAGGAGGTCGACCATGCCAAATGGAAAGCATTTGAGACTAAGTGGCAAAAAATATTGTCCGAATATGCTTCGTTTAATATTTTCTCTATTTTTCTCAGAGCTAACCGCGAGATAGCCCGAAGGACGATATTTGACGCGTACAAATGGTTATATGATATTACCACTCTGGGGGCTTGGTTCACCGATGATGTAAGTAATGATATTGTTAATTTTTTTTATACATTATGTTTGGTTTGATTTATTAAATGAAATAATTCCCTCTTTTT